GGTTGTCAAGTTGGGTCAGAGAACAGGAATAACTGATGAGCAGCACCTCCCTCCCCTCTCTCTCCTCCTCTTCCTCTCCCGGGGTATCATTTGCCAGGTCCTGATGCAGAGGAGGACGAGGTGGAGGGCCGGATGATATAAGCGCAGAGTTTTAATGAGGGCTGGGACAGTGCAGTCATCTACTTATCTGTCACTCATACCCCTTTCATTGTTCCCCTCCCCCGTGCAAGGTGGTGAGATACGGGGAGCGGGCCGAGGGGGCGGAGTGGAGGACTGAGAGGGAGGAAGAATGGTTAGGGGGGTGGGGTGATAGGAGGGGGAGATGCAGGAAGCAAGTGAGGCACATCACTTATTTATGGGTGATAAAATGTTCTCCCCTCCTGTCTCATTCTCCCTATTCTCTCTCTATATATTTTTCTTCCTAACCTGAATTCAGGAAGGTGAATACTCAAATGTCTGATATCTTAAGAACCCAGTTTTCATTAGCAGCTAATCTAATACACGAGGCAGGGGAGGAGGAGGAGCTGAGGTTTAGTCACAGTGTGGCATCAATTTGACATTTATTGTGTGTGTGTGTGTGTGTGTGTGTGTGTGCACCTATTAGCATTCCCCTTGTGCACCGTTCCTTCTGTGTGTGTTATTAATAAAACATACAGTATATATAAAAGGGACCATACTATTTATAGTTGTGTATTCATACCAACCAGCGATTTATAGAGCTATAAGGCAGGTTATAAAAGCAACAAAAAAAAATGAGAAAGAGTTACATAGAGAATTAAAAAATGAATATATGATTAACATGACAAAAGAGTGGAAATAACAGTGTAAGACAACAGTGTAGAAAACAGTGTAAGAAATTGATAATTATCTTATCTAATAACAGGCAAAACTGTTTAAACTTAAAAATCCAAATGTTATAAAAAGTAGTGGATTGTGTCACCTTTTATCTTTTGGAGATTCGGTGTCAGTCTTTTCCTCTTTGAATGCCACAGCAGATCAATATACTACCCAGTGGTGGTTTTATCAATCTTATAGCATGAGCACTATGAATAAGCTTGAGAAGAAGGTGTGCAGCTTCGTGTGTGTGCTGCCTCGAGTGCAGACTTGGAGGGCATCAAATCCTCATATGTGCAGAAGTAGACTCAGGGTGTGTGTGTGTCTGTGTGTGTGTGAGGTTGTGGTTTCATATAGGGTGAAGGGTGATGCACTTGACAGCTGTGCTCTGTTGTGGCAGGTGTGTTGGAGCTGTATATGTATGAGTGCAACATGCCTTAGCCTGCAGCAGGACGTGGGCCTGCTTTGTGTGTGTGTGTGCTCAATGCACGGGGAACTGTCAGCTGTTGTGCAGCTGTTGTTTGTGTGCTTTATCCAGTGGCTAGAGGTACTATCAGAGAGTGAGAGTGGGCACTACCTCTGTTTTACACACAGTTTCTTACCCATTATTTACTACCTGGTTTTGCTATTAACTGCGATGCCTTGAAGGGATTGTTGACCCAAAAACTCACTCATTACCTGCTCACCACTATGCTGATGGAGGGGTGGGTGAAGTGATAAACAGCGTTGCAACCAAATCCAAAGTGGTCACCGTTTACTATTTAAGTAAATGGTGACCACTTCTTCACCATTTCCTTCTTCCTCTATAACTCAGGCCTTTGATAAACTTTATTGATGTTAATCCCACAACATTTACAACTGTCCCATCAGTTCAGCAGTGCATGTGAGAGGTGGCCGACACGGCAACAGTCAAGTACAACACACACACAGGAACATGGACATATATGGCATAATGCATACAGAGCGGTTATTCGTCAGTCATGCAGAAGGCCAACCTTCAAATGATAAGGCCTTTGAAATATGTGCCAAAACTGCAACAACATCAAAGACAAAGATCCATGGCTGATGTTTATTGATCTTCAGATCTATTTCTGCGGTTGGAAATGGTTGTAACATAAACCAGCCCTCTGCCGAGTTCGAGCTGCAGCGAAACAGGCGACATTAAAACAATGCATATGAGTGACATGAGCAGAGACAGGAAGGGTATGTGCAGGTGAGCCGTACCAGTGGAGCTGTGTGTGTTTATATGAACATGGCAGCTCAAAATTAAAGGGCATTTCAGAATCCCACTGTGGAGAACAGCTGTATGTGTCTGTGAGAGTACAAAGTGCTACAGCTGTTGCCATAGTAACTTTGGGCCATAGAGTGACACATGTCAGAGGTGTCTTTACTGAAGTACAGCTTTTATAACTTATTTTTAGGCTGATGTGTTTATTATGTCCACATCTTGCAGCTTTATACTTTTACTCCACAAAATTTCAGAGGAATATGTTTTACTGCACTGCCTTCCTCTATAAGTGGCACTTTTTAAAAGTAGAACAGTTTTGCCATACGTGACAATTAGTTCTGCTACTTGTGCCTCTGTTGTCTGCCACATGGACCAGCTTCTGCGTCGCTTTGGGCCAGAGGAAACTGACAGAAAGTGAGCACAGTGTCTCAGTGTGCTCAGGGGGGAGCGTGTTGCAGCAGAAAACTCAAGACAGACACTGTCAAAATCTTCAGTCAGCTGTCATTCAGACTTATTGCACTGGCTTTGTCTCCTCTGGAGTTCAGCACAGAGACATATTGTTTCTCCTTCTGTTTCAAATAACCGTACATTTCTTAATTGCAACACTAGCAAAGGGATGGATGAACAGCATATGCACGTTAATCCACTTCCTCCCACTCTCCAGGAAATGAAGCTAAAATATCCCAGATACAAACGTTGGCATTTTGTGCATGTCGGGGCCAGAGTCTGCATGGTGGTAATGGGTGACTGAACCATGGTAACAGTGTCCCGCTGAAACACGCTTTCGACTAATCATGACTCAGTCTCAGCTGTCAATCATGACGGTTCCCCCGTTTCCATAATCAAAAATAACAAATTAAAACCAAACTTACTGGAAAAAGGAACTTGAACAAACAAAAACAATGTATTTGACCTGTACTTTGACATTTTTGTTTGGTGCCATCCATACACATATTCACAATTGTGCTATTGTCTTTAGTAGTTAAAAAACCTAACAATCTTTTTCCAGTGTATTTCATGTCGTATGTTAAGGAAGCAAGGCTGTAGGAGTTGAGGTATTTTGCTGCTGATTGTTTTTCGTGTTTCAAGCCACAATAGACAACATTATGTAGAGACAGGCCATGAATCTGCCCATTTTTATCCCTGCTGGTCCCTACAGTGGGCTTAACAATGAACCTAAGCTGCTTTGACAATGACTCTCCCCGATGGATCAGAGTGTAGTGACGAGCTGACTGAAACACGTGAACATCCCCGGCTGTCGTACTGACCTAACGCCACCCAGGACCAGGTCAGAGAGAAGCTCTCTGTTATTTAATGAGCCAAAATAAAAGAGAGACTCAGCATCCGCCATATTTATCAAGAGCCACCCTCTGGTAAAGATGCTGCTTACACTCGACTACACTCACTGTGCTGCGTGGTACTTTTCAATCGTCAGTCAATTGTATTAAAACTGAAATGAAAAATCAGGCAGTGTGTGCTCCCTCAGATCAGCAGTTCTAACCCCTCCCTTAATGTACTGAAATTAATGAGGCCATCTTTTTTTTTTTTTTTACAGATAATAAAAGTTTGAATTTGGTCACCACCCAAACGCACTGTGGCAAAAAAGAATTCACATCATATATTTGATCGGTAAATGCTGTTATGAGAGATTTTATGCTCATTTAATGTTGTTTAATTGCCAAGCACTCACTGTCACGAGCAGAAATATAGGACGTGGAGTTCCATTCTAGTTATCCGATGCATATACAGTTTACAGACAATGTCTGGAAATTAAAGCAAAATTATGCACAAAGCAAATACAAAGCTGCAAAATGTCCATGGAGTTTGACGGGAAGGTAAGAACAGAGGAGAAGAAATAGGTGCGAACTCTTCCTACATAATATTTTATATGGGGATGATCACTGTTTCGATTTCAACATGTGTCCCTATGTTGTTGCTTATGCTACAGACTCGAGCATCTGCTCTGGACACAGCTGTCACCTCCACACCAAGGTCACACAGACACTGTACCATAAAATCCTTACACCCAATAAAAGTTGTGTAAAGGTTCACAAACTCCCACTCAGCACACAGCAGATGGATGTGCTTTATGAGTCAGAAAATAAGAAGCAGCGGCACCTGCTCTCAGCGGCATTAACTGTTGGTGGGATTGTTTCGCGTTGATTTGCTGACTTGTCACATGGCGCTTTCAGTGGTTTTCAGAGTGCGGCGCTGTGGAATACAATTAATCTTATTCCTGTTTCTCTCTCATCACCCTCCCCGCAGAGTTGACATTCACGTCGCAATAACAACGGCCAACTGAGACTAGAGGCTTTAAAGAGAGCACCCTAAAAAAGCACCCTAGAAAGGCTCCATCATTTATTTAAGCTTCCTGATGAAAGCCTCCATCCCCTCCTCATCTTTGAGCCTCCTCCCTCAGTCCCGTGTCCTTGTTAGCACAAAGCTGCCATCAAGTGCATCACACAGGTGGTGAGTGCATTCCTCCTGTTGCCATGGCAGCACCCAGCATGACTAAGTTGTCAGGAGGAAAGTTGTGTTACCCCCTCATGGACGTGTGGAGATCCGCAATGTGGCCTGTTCAGGATTCTGTCTCTCAACTTTCCCCTCATGCTGCCAAATCATTGTGAAGAGATGGGGCAGGTATGAATAAGTAGGTCAGTAAGTGTATATAACTGAATGTCCTCGCCGCCCACAGCCAGTGGCCGGAGACATTATGATTTTTTCCAGTACTTCGTCCCTACGTACATCCTGACATCTCAAGAGTGGTCATAAACAAATTTAGGGAATTCTGATTTCTTCTACATGTCACTGCATGTACAGTGTGTGTGGGAAAACTTACACTTATCCATGTGGATATATATAGTTTAGTTAAATAGGCTAAAAGAAATTTGTACAATTTTATAAGGGAGATCAAATGAAAACAAGCTGATGCGTCCACTACGTGTACAAAGTTTTCACATTTATGTCACATAGAAAAACAGTGTTTTGGAAATACAAACAACTGGAAATGGAGACATTCTTGTCAAACATTTAATAAACTGTACGAATGAATACTGCACCATTCAGTTGTAATAACAATTTCATCCGGAAACTCTTCTTTTCAAGAGTCAACACACGCAAACTTTGAAAAGAACCGGTTCTCCGAACAATCCCAGAATCCACTGGAGGTTAGATTTTTTAAATCTTTTTTAAGACTGGTGCAGTAAATCCATGTCAGCATGACTTTATCATATACAGTATAAAACACCGGGTGTCATTTGATATCAAAAAACAGTTCTTCTATAAGTGAATGTCTTTAAGCGCAGTTAAATGCACTGCTCAGACTGAGAGGAGAGGCGAGAACATCCGAACCCGTCGTGATGCTCCCTCCTCCCACAGCGTGTGTAGCTGCCGCCACGCTGAGCATTCATGTGACTGTGTGGAAGAAGTAGCAGCTCTGCAGAGTGAGTCCGTCTGGTACAAAAATCTGTGGCATCTCTTAAAACCGACCAGAGTGTGTGAGTGAGAATCAGCCACCTCTCTGCCTACTGCTTCTGCTTCTTCTTTGCTGGTTTAATGGGGGTGATCTCTTCCTCCTCGTCATCATCGTCGTCACTCTCCTCATCAGACAGATCAGAGTTGTCGACCTCTGAGGCTGCACCAGAACAGAAGACAAAGTTAAGCCTCCTCAAATTTAATTAAATCCATCATGTTCTTTTAGACAAGGTTTTTAAACTGCTGAACAAACATATAATCGGTTTGTTCAGCAGTTTAACTTTGACCCTCAATATTGACTTCGCATCTGCATAAGTGACCGAGCCCTTTCCTTAGGGCAGCTACTTTTTACTTTGTTAATATCAGTCACCTAAACATGACTGATTTTTTTTCATCAAGATCCATGAATTACAGAGAAATCTGTAAAAAAAAAAAGTGCGAAGTACTGCTAACAAACATACAAACCAACCAACATAACCTGAAAACATAACCTCCCTGGCAGAGGGAAACAACTGTCTTCATGTGAATTTGAGTTAAAGATCTGTGAGGCTGCTTCATTTAATCTGCACACGTTCGTTACAACCAGCATTAGGATTAAAAGAAGAAGGTCTGGTCCTGATCACGGAGCTTTTCCCTGCAGTGATGAGAAATGCATATTTCACACAGCTTTAGTCGACTTTAAAAAAACTCATTCACCTCAGACGTGTCAAAGGTCTTAAATTTAATTTCAAGATGGATCTGACATTTTATTTCTAGCAGATATGTTTAACTTTTTATGTGGTCAGGTCAAATGCAAGAGAAACTGAATAAAGAAGAAAAGTATTTCAGTATTTCAGATTCTGAAGAATCACAGCCACGCATCACAGCAGTTGCTGAGCAATTGCTTTCTTATCCATATGCAAAGGAGAAGATCTTCTTGATTTAGTGATTGACTATGTTTTCCAAAATTATTCTATTCAGGTTTCATGAGCAAGACTTGTTTATGTTGTTGGACCAGTGCTTCATAGTGAAATAAGAGGTATCACCTTCATTTATTAGTTTGATTACACAAAAACTACACGGATTACTACGAATTTTAGCGGGAGGATGCGAAATGGTTCAAAAAGGAAGGATTACATCTTCACTGATTTCCCAGGAGGTAATACTACATTTGATCTTGATGAAAGTGAGTGCAATTAGGTGCAGCTTGAATCCAAGAAGTTAGATGCAAAGATCAAGATATTGTCAGTGGTGCTGCATTAGTGGTTTGAAAGTACTGGGAGAGTTGAAATGACTTTTTACCAATAAGGTGCAGCCCGCTGACATTCACCGGCCCTGACCCGGCCTTGAGTCGGATCGTCACTGGGGCTTTCAGCTCAAACTCCCCCAGACTCACCTGAGGAGAAGAGAAAAGAAATATATAAATAACGAAATGTAAAACTCAGGCTTCTGCTGCGTGATCTAATCTGTAGAATTTAAGCACAACACCGCACGGTACCATGGGTAGACAGCCGATGTGAAGGTTGGCGATGGGCACAGAGATGGTTTTTCCTTGGTGGTTCATGGCCGTCACCTCCACCACGTTGCTCTCCTCCTTGGCGCCTTCTCCAAGACAGACCTGCGGGAATCAGATGAATTTAGATGAAGATGTTTTTAAATGTTCTCCACATCAGAGTATGACCCTGTTCAGACCTGGTGTCAACATCCCTCCTGAGAGAGCCAATCGCAAGTGGACAGGGCTAAACTAGTCTGTTCACACATGGTATTAAAATATGTCCAGAATGTGTCTCATGTGACGACTTGTGATCGGATCTCACTTTGTCGCAAATTAACACGCAAGTCATTTCTGACTTACAAAGGATGTTGTTTCTACCCAGTTAGAGTTGCACGTGAGACTTGTCCCACAGACACCTGAACTCATCACGAAACAGTATTTTGATTTATTTGAGATGTGAAAGACTTGAGATTGGCCGTTGTCGTCACCTCAGCAATGTGCTACAGGAAGAAGAAAGCGACTGACTGGATTTTTACAATAGATTTCATTTTGCTGACGCTTCTATCCAAAGCGACTAACAATAAGTGCATCAACCATGAGGGAACAAACCCAGAACAACAAGAATCAAGTACAATTTGCTTTAAAAAAATGCCAAACTACAAAGTGCTGCATGTAAGTGCAACAATATATATATATTTGTTTTTTCTTTTTTGATTTCTGTCTTTATTTACTCCCCCCTGCAGCCACTGGCAGGTCAGGTTGGTGGATCATAACAGACCAATTCCATCTCAAACGCACATAATGCAACGTGTGTTGTTTCCACATCACACATTAGCAAACAAAACTGCACTTGGTGGATGTGAGGCGTGTGAACGCCTCACTGAACCGTGAGTGTGGACTTTCTGTTGCACGCCTGATTTCTCAATGTCTCTGCTGTAACTGTACATACTGTTCTGAGCTCGAGGAAGTGCTCCAGGTCCTCCTCTTCATCCCCCTGGAAAGTGTAGAAAGGGACTTTGGAGGACAACTCACAGGCTGCAACAAAAACACCACAACCAGGGTTAAACTTCTCACACTTTCTTTTCATTTTCGGGAATCCGTGCAGTGTTTCACAGCCTGGACAACACAGGCTCCCTGACATGGATGCAGGGGTTCGGAGGAAACGCACGTGTGCTCGGTCGGAGCAGTTGAGCGGTAAATGAAAACGTGTCTTACTGAACAGGAAGCTCTCCAGCTTGGATTGGCCGCTCAGGCCCAGGTCCGAGGACTCGTCGTGAAAAGACATTTTGTTAAGCCGCTGAAGTAAAAGTGCGTTTAACTGGAAACACGTTTCAACTGAATGAGCTGCTCACGAAGAAGAATAACAAGCGCGTCGCAGAGTGTGATCCGGGCTGCTTCGTCATCACCGTGCGACCGACGCTCGCTCATGTACATTGTTTCCTCCCATGCATCAAAATTATATAATTATTATATTCTTATTATATCAATTACTAAATAACCGGAAGAGATCTGATTAATTGCTTTTGTCTTTGTTAATTTTATTATAATTATTCGTTTTTTTATATTGACAATTATAATCAAAAATAAAAACAATTTCGTTATTATGATGCCTAAAGGTTTTATTTTTATCCATTTGCTTGAGAGCAATTTATTGCAGAATAAAGTATTTAAAAATATAAAAAATGAAGTAATAATATATATATATATATATWTWTWTTAKWATATATATATATATATATATTTATTATAATATATATATAGTAATTATATATATATATAGTTATATTAGATAATCCTCTATTACTATAACTTCAGTATTGTTAAAGACCTGAGGATCCTCTGGCCCAGCTGAAGAATATCTGCAGCAACAGTTGAATGTTTCTGTGTGTGCACAAGCGTAACCTTTCTTTGTTGGAACAAAAACACGAGTAGCAGATTTAAAACACGTTGTAAAGCAACACAGGAAACACAAAGCAGCAAAGTAACATATCATGGTTTATTACTTTTTAATCTTATGTATCTTACATACAAATTTTACATCGGTAAACTGACACTTTTATGACACCCAAAACTCAGGAAATGAAAATGTACAATTGGAGCCCTTTCTCTCAGTCACAGCCCATTTTCTATCAAACCTGGTTGCCAGAGGAGAAAGCTAGAGCGTCGGAAAAAACTGCAAAATTTAAAACAAGCATGAACGTTCTGCTGTCGTTTCAGGGGACGAACATCAGATCTGTTAGTGAGTTTCACATCTTCCGGAAAAAAAAGAGAAGCCAGTTAGGACGGATGTACAAACATTGTGATGTAACATGTTCCTTCAAGAAAAACAAAATGCCAGCCACAGTCCATATAAGGATATACAAAATAATAACACTTTATGATTGACAGTGTCAACAGACTGTCTATATTCTACAGTATTATGCTCATAGAGGTGAGTGGCATGCTTCTTCCTCTTTGTAGCATAAGATGAGGTCAATCTAATGCCACGGCAAACCCAATACACCTCATGCACATGATGAATGTACACAGTATAAAACATCACATTGGCAGGCAGCTACTTAAGAGCAACTGATGATCCTCAGGTAACCAACAGAACACTCCTATCTATGGTCAAAGTGCTTTTTTTATTTAATCAACTTAGATAGTTTTACAAAAAACAAAATGGGAAATGCGTCACAATAGGAAACATTCAACGGACACGTCGTAAAAGGCCCAGGAATTCTGCTTCCTACTCCCACAGCTAAATTTCAACAGTGCGGGAGCCAGTGCCACTTTGGTGACAAGATTTAAGAACCTCAGTGAGGGCTGTACTCGCCGAGGCTCGACTGAGGACATTCATTTGAGAATGTGTGATGTTGGAAACAAAGCAGGGAAGACGGATGACACACGACAGTGTAAACTGATCATTAATGATGGTGATCTAGAAACTGCAGATTTAGTGGTTATGGAGAAGTCAGCTGCTTTAGGACAGCAGGAGCTTCAAGCCTCTGTGATTTTTTAATTCCTTTGACTATTTCACCTCATGTCATTTTAAAGTAAACTGTTGAAAAATGTTTTTAATAGCAGATTAAAATATCAGGATTTTGGTCACACTGGGTACTGCTATCAGAAAAATGTCGATTTTTTTCAGGCAGAAGAGGAACGCAGATGAACTAAAAATACAAGTAAATAAGAATATTTTAACTTCTTACACAAACTTATGAAATACAAAACTTAAAAATTTTACATATAGTAAATGCATCATTATACATAAGTTAACGCGACTAAGCTCGTCAGAGCTTCCTCTGCCAGTATAAACCTTGTCAGTCAGCTTGGGTTTACTGGACGATGTCTGTGACCAAGTTTGGGATCTGGTCAGACAAAACTAAGGAAGAGACGATCGGGCTGTGTGTCTGGAATTTCAGCAACAAGCCATGTCCAAACTAAACCGTGTGTTTGACAGCCTCTCTACAGAAGACACTGGAGGTCTTGCAATATAAACCTAAAATCCAAAGGCAATGAACCAAAAGGCAATAACAGCTCAAAGGGGAAATAAGCAATAAACAGCTGAATGATAAAAATAAAAAAAAAACATGGCCAAAAGCAAAGCGCTGAACAAAAACAGGCCAAGAACCAGGTCTGTAAACTTGTAGAAGCTTTTATGTTGTTTTCCAAATGTCTACTACTGCAAGAAAGCAAATTCAGAGGGTCTCCCATGAGGCTTTCACAGTCTCAACAAATACTTTACTGGTCTGTGACGTTCTTCAATCGCAAACCCCCAAAACTACAATTCTCTACCCTTCACGTCTGCAGACTAAGCATCACCACGTTTTGTTAGAAATAAGCCACTAATAGGCTTTGGTGGAGGAATTGGAAACATGATGATGTGTTGATGAAAGAAGGCAAACTCTCACATAGCACCTCACATTCTGTATAAAGGTGTCCTACTTATATCGACAGCTGTGCTATTCTCTGCGTCAAAGCTGGGAAAGCAGGACGTGGGGGTAGTGAGACACTACCTGAGATACAGGCCGCCCTCATTTCACAGCTCTCCACCCTCCATTTCAGATACAGACTCTTTGCGTCCGAGCACACGGGCGATATCCATGTAATGGCGACTAGATTAAATCAGAAAAAAAGGCTTGCAGTTATCGCTTCCTGTCTCCTGGAGGTATATGAGGTGGGACCCCAGAAATCAATGCTAGAGCCCCACTCTTCTATGTCGGCTCAAATCAACTGACTACGGATCACTCCTCAACCTTTTGGCTTCATATCTGCTGAATCCAGCATCTGAGGGGAGCACAGGGGAATTTGTGTGCGACTGCTGTGCTCCAGTACACAAATCCTAAAAAGAGGTCTCCCGGGGCTCGCCCAGATGGTAATGTAGTATAAAATCATCATGGGAGTTTTTCTCACGAAGGTAGCAAACATGTTTAAGCCGTGTTGACTTGCTCTCTCTGTCTTTTACTGGAGCAGGGGGGACTCTTCATAAGCTGCGTCCCATGATGATGATGTCTTTTGGAAAGCCGTCCATTTTAGCCACTTCAAAGCACCCCAGCTTACTATAGAAGTCCAACATTCTCTTGTCAGTCTGACGGACCTTACAGAAAGCACCTTGGGACCCTGGGAGTGAACAAAAGAAAACAAGTCAAACAAAAACAAGTTTGGGTGAACGTGGTGTTCAGCTGACAATAATCTTCTGTGTCCCTGACCAGTAATGAACCAGTGCCAATGACACAAGGAAGAGAAAGTTATTTTGGTCGGTGCTTTGAAAGTTTCAGGTTTATTTTTGTACTTTGCTTTCATTTACTTGCTACATGAACATTATTTATTATTTCTATGGGATAAATTGTTGCCTGAGTACAATGTTGTACTATGTTTATGTTTTTACTGTGTTAAATGTAACCATTGAGACACATAATAACTTTTTTTCAGTTCATTGGGTTCATGATACAAACAGAATGTCTAAACATATGGTCTTAAATAGAAGCTTCTTACCATAACAGGGATTAACTATGTGCTATGAAAACTCAGCTCAGTAACAAGCTTGTTGTTTTGGACTCTGGTCTCATTTTCACAGTTCATCAGATAGAATATTCTAACACTGTGTTCCTAATAAAACTAATACAATAAGTTCTTTCTGTAGTTAATACAAGAAACACAGACCATTGTTGTCAAAACTTCAGACACCTACCATTGGCTTTAAGAGAAGATAGAAGACACCCCATCATGCTTTTGGCCACACTGGGGTCTGTCACCTTGGCGTGAATGTCAACCTTGATGAGAGAGGGGAAGTTGGAGAGAAAAGAGTCTGGAAGACCCTCCTCCTCTTCGTGGAAACTCAGCATCATCTTCTGCAGCGACGACAGAGAGAGCAAAGGTGGTCCAGTGAAATTCAACGATAGGACACACTGCTGCCTGTCACCCGGGGGGAATTAACGATACTAGGAGAGATGGATTAAGAACCTACCTCAGCCTCTGTGAGGTCCTTCTGGCAGTCAGGTTTGTGGTATTTATCTTGCATGAATGGAATCCAGTTCAACTTGCATTTCTTGATGAAGGGCTGGACATCCACTGTACCGAGAGCATAGCCGCAGATCCCTTCATCGTCCTCGAGCACAAAGCCGTAGTCTGAACTCAGTGTCAGGAGACCTCCCACTAACCTGTGAGGAAACACACACACAGACGAAGATGTCAAGAGTTTGTAATGAAAAGAGCCAACAGCAGTGTCTGTGTGTTGACAAGAAAATCACGTGATTGCCGCAGCAGAGTTAATACGTCGCTTAATGCCTCCGGCTGCACCACCTCTCGCCTGAATAATACTGAGGATTTGTTGCTGTTGTGAACGCGACTGTGTAGAAAACCTCCCGCTGTGATGCTCATGTGTGAAAGACAGACTGTGGGTAAACTCCGTAGCCAATTCTCCGGATTTTACCCACGGGTCATGTCTGAAAAGGGTATTGTCAGCCATGTTGATTTGCATTCAGTCGTTAGTCACGGCTGAGACAAATACATCTCCATGTGTTACCTGTCTCCTATGAGGTCTGGATCGTCATCGGAGAAAGGAGCCTCCTCCGTCCCTTCGCAGTACATTTCTTTGCAGATTTTATAAACAGAACCCTGCAAAAAGAAGGACCAATACAGCCGTTATTATCGGGGATGAGTTGACAAAAAAAATGCCACAGAGAAACTCAATATGCATAAAGAAATGTTAGAAGTAAAAAGTCTGAAGCTGTCTTTACATTCAGCACATATATTCATTTACAGCACAGTGGAGGATTACATTGTGGGACACAGCATTCCCAGCTTTAAGTAGGCCAGGCCTGCTGGGAATACTTGCAACTAGCCAACATAATTTCCGCTGCCATACATTCATAAACATTATTAATGTGCAGTAATTGTTGGCACTTAAGGACGAAATACCGCAAGGTGCACGAGGACATGCCTAAAATGCACAAACATCTTACCTCATCCTTGGGAAAGTAGGGCCTTATGGAATAGATTTTGGAGGTTGGCATTGAAGGTGGTGGTTGGTAGAAAAGATCGTTTGCCCCATCTATTGGCAACAATCTCTGTGGGCATCAAAAGAAACAGGTTCAGTTTCACTGAGATGAGGTGCTGTGCTGCTTTGGCTGAATGCCTCACTGTGCATTTGCTGCAGCTGAGCCACTGTCAAACCAAAAGGAACTATAGAGGAGAGCAAAGCACTCTGGAACGACACATGTAATAAAACAATAAGATCATAATTATATTAACTGAAGTTCCTTGTTGATCTGACAGTGGACAACGAGAGCAAACATCACATCTTTCTCAATTGGCTAAAGGAACATAACACAACAAGCACAGACATTATTTGCTTTTCAAATATAATAAGTCAAGGGTGGTATTTTGGTCTGACTAAGGTTTTACTGGCTGAAGGAGATGCTTCTTTCCCTTTTATAAGGCATCACAATATTTCGCTGCGCAGGACCCTCCTGTTGAGAAAAATAATGATGCTGGCGCAGAGAGGCAGAGAGAACTCCAGGAAAAAAACCAAAGAGGCAAATTAAATGTGAGCTAACTGAGTCATTCAGTAGCAGATCAGTTGCTATCATGAGTGTTGCTACTCTCCAAGGACGGAGGTTTGACTTTAGTGCTGGACAGCCGCGTTTGATCATGGAGTTTTCCCGTTACAAACATGCTTGCGTACTCGCTGGCGCTGCGATGCTGGCGCGTGCGCTTGCAAAGGGTTGGCTTGGAATATTGTGCGCTGTGCTTTCCTGCAAAGAAATGAGATGTCATGAAAATAAAAACCTAGCCATGCTCGCTTGCGCTGCGTGCGCTAGGGAAAAGCAGCATCTCCTTGGGCAGTTGCTGAAAGAAACTGAAATTAATCAATCAGAAAAGGCCAAACCGACTGTAACCTGTTTTTGTCAGGACGGGTATCAGGGCACCAATCCCCCTTACACTCACTATAAATATATACATAGCCCAAGTAAAACAAGGACATGAATGTGTTTTGAGAACAGGTGAAAGGGAAGGAACCTCGTTGTTATGAAGCCCGACCCGTTCTTATCAGCTCACCTTCGACAGACCAAAGCCCTTCATACCTCTGCACATATAACCATCGCCTTTTTTGCTCACAACACTCTTTTTTTCCATAGCTGTACATTCAGTGCATTAGATACCTGGAACTCTCCTGCTAGACCTCCCCTAAAGGCCCAGGGCTCTTGGTCTCCTCTAAGGAATTGTGCTGAGGACTGACTACGACACCCTGTTAGGAGCAGAGCCAAGCGGACATTGTTACCACAAGATGGGGCTCTCTGACACAGATGAAGGGAGCGGGGAGATGGGGTCATATGTATCTAATAGCATGATCCATATAAATAAATCTATTTTGGTTTACTCATTAAAAAATAAAAAGGGCCTAATTTTGGAATTTTATTCAGAGGAAATATTTTTGATAAAATGGGGCTCGAGCAACTAAAGCTTACTTGTTTGCAAGGTGGAATCGGATTCGAGATATTAATAATTTTTAAAAAAACGTTACAAAATAAGACCTTCGCTAACTATTCAAACTGTTCCACAGAACGCGGTATGTAGATCTTTAGGGATACGTTTTTTTTCATGCACGCACACTCTCCAAAAACTGAAGAGAGAAGAGAATTGAGTGCAGATCAGCCCCCTAGGTGTTATAGTTATTTGATAAGATGACAGGCTTCATAAATATTATATTGACCTTCAGAAACAAAACCCACACTGCCTATCGACTACAAAGGTAAGCTTCAGCTGCCGTCACCCCACTGATCCCAGCACCCCGTGTGAAGTCACATTCTCATTTTATCTGCCTCGTCATATGACGGAGTCGTCGAACCAGGGAGATGGAGCGAGAGGGAATGGTAGTGTGAGCCATCCCTGAGTTAAAAGGCCTCTTGGCTTTCTGTTAAAAGCCACAGAGAAACCAAACATCATGGAATATGTAGAAGGGACAAAGCATATAAATAGCAGTATATAAATATATATATATAAGCACTCAGGGCTCATAGAGTTCAAATACAGTTTTGATGCTGCTCTAACCCTGGTTGACGAGGACTCCTGTCATGTGACCAGACAAATGCAGCGCGCGGGCAGGACATCCAACACTGCCTCACATATGAACTTCACTATATCGCTAAACAATTCCTCTGTCGACCTGACTCAGTCCAGCACGCAGATGCACCCACAGGAGGGAACTGTGAACTTGCTCACCCCAAACTGAAAACCCCAAACTGGACAAAAGAATGATCTCTAAGTGGTTTACATCCACCCCAATGATCTATTCAGACTGCATTGTTTTAACACAATCCCAGCTCTGCAGAAAACATGCATCTCTACCTGTTGCACGGTACAATCTGCATGTATGTTATCACAGACTGTGGCTACGCAGTCAGAAATACATCCCCGTGTAGTGTGAGGATCATGTGCCCTAATAAGATTTCAAAGTCAAGCATAAATTCCCTTGAGTTTGTGCATTGGGCTGGTCTGAGCCATATCTATGGGCCTACTGACAGAAACAAAAAAACAAGTTAGAGAGAAGCTGCCAAAGGGAGAAATTTGGGAGTTAACACTTCAAAGCTAAAAATCGCTGCCCAAAATGTGACTTCATCCAGAGGGCTGCTTCCTTTCCTCCAAATCAAATCTTTTACATTTAAAGATCTATTTAAAGAAAAAATAAATAAAATAAATTCTCTAACATGAACAAAAGAAAGAGACAACGCCTGCACTGTGCATACATCGGCTACTGTCGATCCAATAGCAGTAGAAACTTGTACTGTGGATTCTTCCATCTGTACATGGTGAAGGGAGAAAACAGTAGAAAGTTATTAGTAAGTGTTCTCAGTACAATAACCAGGGAGGTTGTGACTAATTGCCGGCTGCACAGCTTCTATAAAGGGGAAAACGTGGGGACTGATGCAAAAACCTGCTAATAGCAACAACAGAAGTCAGCAGTTAGGTACTTAACAATACTCCCCTTGTTAAGAAGAATATGACTTTCTATTTATACACTCAATTTACTGAAGTTTTTCTCCAGTAGTGTGGATCTTTCATGTGGTTGTGCCAGTGTGGGTATGCTGCCTGCTGTGTACTGTGAGCTACAGTCCTCAGCTTTACCATAGTCGGACAGAAACCTGTGAATGAAACTGTATTACAGGGAGTAACCTACAGGCCATGCTGGTGCTTTGGACTAGTCAAAACAACACTCCAAGAATAAGATGGAGATGTGATCACAGGGCTGAATGTCACTCAAACTGCATCACTGTGCACCATCAAGTAGAGTGAAAGAAAGAGGGAGGTGAAGGGAGAGGGAGAAAGTGAGAGACCCCGTTCAGACCTGGTATTAACATTCGTCCTGAGTGATCCAATCACAAGAGGTTAGCGCAAAGTAAAGGCGTGAACGCACCCAAATGCGATCCAACACATTTGCAGGTGGTCTGGGACGCATGTGGTCACATTCCTCTCAATGTGTGAACACAAATGCGTCCTGGGCCACACATAAAGGACCGCCTACTCAGCTGATGTCCTCTGACCATATGTTGATTTGATTGTAGCCCCCAATATAATATCTACCGTTACCACTGACCAGCACAGATTGATACTTTGCTTAAATCAAATAAATATTTTCTTCATAGCTGTACACATTCATTCATTCAGTCTCTAGGGACCCTGCTCTTTCTCTTCCCACCGACACACAAATATTTACCTGGGACACATCTGTAAAATAAAACTGGATAAAAACAACATTATTTGGTGTTCGTGAACACAAATGGATGTGTTTATTTGAATATAGAGCAGGGGGAGTGCGATCTGATCACAAAGCTGTCCGCTTGTGATCGGATCTCTCAGGACAGATGTTGATACCAGGTCTGGACAAGGCCAGAGAGAAAGATTATCCTTGCTTTTACAAGGAGATGGATCACACCCTGATACAGTTTGAGTGAATAATTCAATGGGTTATTATTAAAATTATTTCACAGCCTCAATTTATAGACGACTTACTGAGGCAACAACACAGAGTCTCCTGTAAAATATCCATATGGATTGTGATAAAAACAGCAGAGAAGACAAATTCAGAAACTTCTGATTCAGTTTATGCACCAGAATGGCCTTCCACAGTCAGTCAGTCAACTTGCTCTCCAAGCTCGCGTGCGCACTAGGGCATGGAGGAGGGGGGTGGGGGGCGCCCCCCCTGGCGCCCATCCCCACAGACAGAGATATGGAAGCAGTGTCTGTGTGGGAATGCAGCAGTGATGTTACTGGATACACAGCAAGCAGCAGTAACCCTGCTGGGACCTTTGCCACTGGGACCCAGTTTAGATATCGCTAACATGGTGCAGCTTGTTATGGAGTAAATGAGGACGATGCTGGCAGTGCAAGCGGCATTCAGTCAGACAAAATAAAAAAATAAAAAGAGAAAACAATCAAAACTTACTAAATAGAACCATGACTATTAAAGAAGTGACGCATTTGATCGGAGGTTTCTATTAGCCACTACTTGGATTCTCACCCTGTTGGCCAAAATCAGCTGCATTTCTATAAGTCTTTCATCTGTAATATTATTATTATCATTATCTGTTAAGCAGACTGTGCAACATGTGTGTCGTATAAATTTGCCTCGCGTCACTACATAGCACTGGACTGCAACACAATCCATGCAGCTAAATGATCAATCAAGTGTTTTTTGTTTTTAATAATTTGAAATGTCTTTAAAAATATCATTGTGTGTACGTGTATGATTTTAAAATTGAAAATGTCAGGACTCCCTGACTTCAGATCAGACTACTGCTATTCTACTGTGTTCTAAAAGTAAGCACTTTATGGTTGCCCTCATACATACCTAGCCACTGGACAAAAGACTTGACCATAGAAATGATGCTCTTGATGTCCCAGATGTAAGGGTAGAGGTCGTACAGGATGGTGCGGTTGGCGGAGTTGGACAGACGTGTGAACATCTGCATGACGGAGCAGCACATCTCCTCAAACGCCTCTGCTCTTGTCTGCCATTCTGCTACCTGTCAAACAGTTCATGGAAATGTAAAGATATAATGTTGACAACACTAACTCATTTTGGTTTGTAATATTTGTTTCTGTGCAGCAGACACTTTCACAAAAACCACTGGTGTGCCTTAGTTTGGTTTTATTTAAGTGGCCCAGGTTGTGATGACAATTGTGACGTGACATCTACAATATATAACATCTGAACTTTTCTGACTGTGACACGCAAATATATCTTCAGAGAAAGGGCTGCCGAAAAGCAGAGAACACAATGCTCAGTGGCGTCAGCACACTCCATCTCCTGTCATAACCACACCACCCAATGGGCAGTATGGGTAATACACATCCACCATTTTGTTTTCAGCAAATATCACAAGGAAGTTCAGTTAATGATGAACTAGTCTTTTCAGATTCCTCTTACTCAGTTCATGTGCTTACTCCAACGTATGAACCCACCTTTTCACTTTCCTTCCTCTTACAGTTCACGCTGACGACGCTGCTGTTGGCTCGGAGCCAGTTGAATTCCTTTAACATCTGCATGGCCTTGGATCCGTGTTCGTAAGGCAAGTAGAAGAGCTCTGCCAGTAAGCTCAGGTCTTCAATTGTGAGAGGCTCTGCTGTGAACAAGGGCTTCTCGTTGGGCCCAGGCACAAACACATCCTAAAGACACATGCACGCAGCGTTAATATAACTTTGTAGGGAATTCTAACTTATTTTTGTCTTCCATTTCAGACAGGTGAAGAAAAAAAGAAACTCACAAATGCTTGTGGCATCTGTTTGAGCTGATCGTCTGTCTGCATAGGGGCAATATCACTTCCAGAGTCTTCCTGGAGAGACTCTTCAGGGGATTTTGACTCTGACAGGCTCTCCTTGTCTGTATCCATGGGCTTCAGGTCCTCTGCCATCTTCTCGGCCAAAATAGGACCAACATGCTTCTCCTCAGGGTCTGCTTCAGCTTCTGGCTCCGGATCATCCTGCTTCTCAACCACCATCTCCATGGGCTCCTCATCTGAATCCTTCTTCTCCACCTCCACCTGCACAAGTGCCAAAAAAATACTTGTAGAACCAAATACAGGCACTGTCTTCTCTAATAAACATGGTTTTAAGACAGGAAGTGAATTTCAAATCACTGCATAAATGACACTCGATCCACATAAACAAGAAGCATGAAGCATAACAGAAGCATGCAATTGTTTGGGTAATATAAGTGCTACAGGTTTGTCTAATGGTAACAATAATGTTCCTCACCTCCTCTTCCTCCTGAGGTCTTTTTGCCAAGGGATGTGAGAGTGGATCCAGACAGAGAGGCGGCATGGCTGGAGACATGATGGGCTGCTGGAACACAGTTGTGACGGTAGTGGAGGAACAGAGAGATGGCGCAGCCATGGAGGACACGTCTATAACTGTGCTTTTGGCACCACTCTGCGGCACCTGTCGGCCTGAAAGACAGAGTACAAAGTCACTGCATTGTTTCTTTTAGTCCAACAAATACATATAATTTGAAGCTACAAGCATATTTCATCTTATAAAGGGGTCGTACTGTTGTATTGATGAGGCACACCGAATTCCCCGAGCCATTCTGTTAGAGCCAGTTTAAGAGCGAGCTGTGGACTGTAGAGCATGTCTGTCTCCAGTTCTTCATCGCTGCCTTCATTCTCTAACTTGATCTGGATGGACACTGTGCTGTCCTCACCGTCAGCTGGTGAAGGGCAGGATGGAGAAACAAACACAGAAATGAAGACCTGCAACATCACACTGTTGTTACAAATTAGTACATTTATGGGCTCATACTTACTCATGACCACATCCTTGCGCACCCCGTTCATGTTAGACTTGTACCAGGTGGCCAGAGTGTGGATCGCTACAAAGTTGGACTCGAACTCGCAGTTGGGATTGGTGAGTACTCCCTTCAGTCTGGGGATGAGCTCTGTGGAGCGGCCCTTGTATGGACCCAAGAAAAGCCTCTTCTGGTCATAGTCATTAGCGTGAATGTTGTCCCAGATCACAGGCGCCCTTTTGAGGATTTTTGACACCTCCTCTATTGACTCCACTGTAATATCTTTGGACACAACCTTGGGGCCTTCGGAACAGAAAACATATCTCAGTTAGCCATTTCATCTACTTCCTCGACATGTGTTACGGTATGCTCAACAGTAGTAATGGTGTTAGTTGACAGGAAACTGTGTTAAGCCTTGTTAATATGCCTCCATACGATCAATATAGTCTTAACGGTTGTGAGCTTTTCTACATATACATTTTTGTACTATAACACTGCTGAAATACTAGTTGGCAATGTGTACTACAAAGGCAAACTACACTAAATGGATCATTTTGAATTAGGCGTTAATAGTGTTTACAGTAGCCTTTTTGGCTAAGCCCTACCTATGGTGCTGATTCCATGTTGAAGTACAAACTGCCCTTCAGACTCACCTGTCCACAGGACATCAATACCAGGCAGCAGCTTCTCTCCTACTGTGTGGAGGTAGGGGGACTGAGAGACGTTTGGGTAGCAGAAAGTTCCACAGTACTCTGTATTCCGAGGCACAAAAACAAACAAAGAATGAATAAATAAGTGGACCAAACAGATTTTTAACATGAGCACATGATTCAGAGATAAATTGTGAAGTACCTGTGGGACAGAAGAGGAAGGTTTCGGGCTCTCCCAGGTACTGGTAGATTTCATTGGTAATGGAAAGCTGAGCGTGTGCAAATGAGCTGAACACTTCTTTGTCAGCCGGGCACATGTTGTGGTCGATATCATCGAAAAGTAAGGCAAATGACTTGCAGCCAAAGTGAGAAACCTGCAGGGGGGGAAAGGAAAGGGTAAGGTACACTGAACTCTTGAGGTTATTTATTGAGTTGTTACATTTATTGCATTACCTGATCAAGCTTCCTCTTGAGTGCAGTAACCTCCTTCTGATTGGAGAAGGTGATGTCCAGTCCAGGAGAAATGGCATAGATGAACTCTATCGCATGCTCCTTAGCAGCACCAATTAACGTCATGAGTTGCTCTACAAGACAGTGGGGGAAAGTCACTCACTGGGTTCGTTCTTGTGCATGGCACATTTTAAAATATGGAATATACTGACTGTTCTTTAACTTAGATAATCAGGCATTTGATGCAAAGATCTGTTGTGGACATTCACCTGCTTCTTCCACTGAGTACAGCTCTCTCCAGAACATCCTGTGTTTGTAGTCATCTTTGGGTGCATAGAGGTATGTGTTCAGTCCCCATTTCTGCTGCCTGTGAAATATCAAATATAACAACTTAAAACATCTGGATGTGACAGAGTAAATGTTGACATCACTCATTAGGGACCATATTTCACCATACCTTCTGAACAACTCTTTCCTCTGTTCCATCGTCCATGGTCGACCATAAAAGCCTGCATCAGGAAACAAAACATTCAGTATTTTATGCAGTTTTCAGTGCTGACAATCAACGACCACTTCCTGTGCATACTGAGCTGTTTCACTGCTATAACCAACTTGCTCCTGGGTTTGGGCTGGAGGTATGCACTTGTCACTTTGGTTTTACACTTACTACTTGGGTTTCTCCATTTGCATCCTCACACTCATATGTATATTTTGTATTTGACTTTCTGTTTTGTTCTATTTCATTTTCTACCATGGCATTGCTCATATGCTGAGATGACCTGTTCCTCTCATCCAACACTTTTCATTGTACTGTTGAGCCTGAATGGAAAAACATATTACAAATTAAATTCACTAGAGGTCCAGACAATATTTGTAAGTTCTTTTTAAACCAGAATCAAAGCCATACATACAAAATATTTGATTTGAAAGCAAAAAAACAACTGTTCTTTGTATTAATGCAGATGTAACGTAGCAATACCTGATTTGAGTTCAGTGTAAAAACTACTTTTTTTTTTTACATAAACAATTAACCAGGCAGAATTGCGACTATGGCTGGAAGATGATGCCAAAAATGATATTAAGATTTATCACAATACTCATCATCATTTTATTTCATTGAAGTTCATAGAGAGATTTTTGCTCCTGGGTGAAGGTTGTGATTTAAAACTCTTCTATATGAGCAGAGTCTCAGAAACACTTCATTCATACTTTACTGATTCATTATGTGAACTGTATTATACTGCTATTGATGGGAATTATACTGTATTGTCCAACTGCTCCTCATCACTGAGGTGATTCATGATTGATTTCTATCTGGTGATTTTACAGGAACTTGCAGCTGAATCCACTGATCACCATCATTCCCCATCACTGCAGCAGCTCGTTGCCTAAAGGCAGCAGAACCTGACCCGCTCCCACCTGACTGCTGTAGCTCCACACTGCCACATTTACCTTCCACGACCCCGCTTATGAATTTCCTGTGGTCCGTCGACTCCACTCCGATGCCGGGCTCCTCCACCGGACCGGGGGCCTCGGCACAAACCTCACCGGAGACGGGGCTGGGGCTCGGCTCTGCGTCCACCGGAGGCGCCTCCAGCGTCTTCTCTTTCTGCACCATTGCTTTCGAACACGCTCGGTGTGGAGCCACCGAGTTACACGGAGACAGTGGCGCTGTTTAAGGTTTAGTGAAGCCGGAGACAACCTGGAGGAAAGAAATCGCGTCGCTGTCTTGTCGGCGTTAGCTCGCGTGCGCTATTAACGAGTCTATCAAAAATGTCCAAACTTTAACGGCTGCTTCCGGGAAACGTGAACAGAATTGCAGTTAGCGAGCGTGTGCCAAAACATGTCGTAGTTAATGTTTCTATAAAAACAAAACGCTGGTGGGTTTTTCTGCGATCATCGTCTGCTCGGTCTCCTAGGTTTGTCCTGTCGTGTCTTCCTGTTTACACCCAGTGCGCGTGCGCAGGAGACCAGCTCAAACCAGTCAGGACTGGATCTGCGTGACAAAACACTACAAAGATGTCAGCGCGCGTAAAAGATGGTCAACACCGCGAGACACATCTGCGCACATCAGCGTCCGGAGAAAGTTCTGAGGGGTTAAAGCACGTGTTTTAATAACCCCGCGAAAGCTGCTCACACCAGGTCGACCTCTCACCCAACATGACAACACCTGCACCCGTATAAATGTGAATAAGGAAGGAGACACGCGGTTTAAACGCGAGAGAGAAGATGCTGTTTGGTTTATTTCTGGTAAATAAGAGCAATACTTTGTGTTAACGTAAAGACGTGGTCATGATTGTTCATACATTTGATTTCTTGCAGCACATCAGGAAACTCGCTGCTCTGTGCTTCTGTGTTGAACATCTCCATTGCTTTCTAATAACTTGGGATTCCAGTTCATCATAGTTATGCAGCTGAGATCCAACCCCACTTTCAAACAGGGGGGGGGCTGCTCCTCTGTTGTTGTGACCCGAGTCTTTGTCTCTGTGTCAGCAAGGTGCTCGTGCTTTGTTCCAAACAAGCAGGATATGCACATCCAGTTATACTTGTACAGGGTTCCTCCATAGCTCCAAGTTTAGTGATCATCGGCCCAGTAGAAGACCAGTGTGCTTCAGCTGATGGAAGGTGGTGTTGTTTGTCAGACATTCGTCACAGCAGGAGAGCAAAGGTGAAATAATGACTGCATTCTTTTTAGGTGAGCTACTCACAGCGACCTGGTGTTTTGCATGTCAGCCAACCGTCATTGCATAGGGGGACACTCACTAAAAACAAGCTATTGTCTATGACATGTGTTTCACTTGCACCATCATTGCATTTGATTCCATTTGTCTTTTATTTCAATCTATTTTATTTGCATTATCTGTTAGTCCTTAAACACATTTCGAATTGTATATACAGATTCTACCCTTTCTGCTTGAATATATATTTTTCCCTTCACATGACCGTGATTCTACATCTGAGTATTAAATGTACTTTATAAATAAATCAGCTGTTTCCTGCTATGATGGGTCAGTTTGCCATGAGAGAAAAACACAAAACACCGTTAGAACCCTGAAGCCAAACACCCAAATTCAGCCGTCATTTTCTCCACCTATGAAGTTGGGTTTTCACCCCAATCTATTTGTTAGTAGGTTGGTTAATTTGTTAACAACCTTCCACAAAAACAACAGACATGTCCCCCCCAACATCATCACTATTTTTCATATAGTGCAAGTTGATTCATTATGAGACTGTTGGTCCTGGGGTATGTGCTGAGTGCCATTCAAGTTAATGCCTGTTTCTTATGTGAAAAATGACAAAACTTATGTTTCAAAAAGATGTTAGACAAAAAACCCACAAACATGTTTTTGTTTCTCATTTTTTAATTGAGGTTTGTAGTACATTTAAATGTATTACATCCTTTCCCAGGAACTACGTAGCTCCATTCCACTTATTTTCACCCTTTTTTAAAAACCATCATCTGTCCATACAATCAAATCTGATTTTACATTTAAATAAAATTTTTAAAAAATTATTTTATTTCACTTAGTTTTTTTTTTGGACTTCTTTTCCTACTTTTCATTACAAATCTTCACTTCAATAGAAGGTGTTAGCTTGCAGAAACAAAAACAAAACAAAAAAATAAACTAATGCAACAACTAAAATGTAAAGACAGTGTCGCAGATGAGGAGCCAGCTGTTGGCTCTGAGGTAAGTGTCAGCTGCTTCCTGCTGCAGGCCTCCTGCTACCTCTTCTGATTCTGCTTGGCCTGCTTCAGTAAAGTGTCAAAGTCTAGTGCCTGAAACTTGCCCTTCACAGGCAATGGATCGTACTCTCTACTCGAATCTGAAAAGAGAAAGAGAGAAAGTCACCATCATGTACAAATAAAGGGACAAGGACAACAGCACTTGCAGCATTTGGGGTCGACTATCATCAAAATATTGCTGGAAGTCAGGATTTATAATGTCACAATGTGTTGTATACAAATCCTCCCAATCCAGTTCATGTCAACTACATTTTTCTGATTAATTTCTACATTTTTATGTTAAGCCCATTCATCTTGCTTTTGTCTGCAATGGAATGGATACAATCGGCTTTTACTAACAGGTCAAATTACTTAAGACAACAGGTGTTTGATTTGCTCCTGCTGCATTCGGCCGTGATGGAAAAAACGAGGTGAAGGCACCAATTTCTTCCTGTTTATTTCTTTTACACCTTTTTCCAATTTGACATTATGAATGGCATAGAACTTCCTTGCGGTGGCGTGTAAACAGCCATGAATGTTTGTGTACTTATGTTTTTTTTTAAATATCATGTAGATCTCATGCAACAAATTTTCTTCGTATGATGCAAAATGCAGATATGAAAAGACGAACGAGGTGAGAACCTCTGTTTCTGATTAATTTGTGACGTCGACCATGACTCACCAGTCTCCAAAAACTGAAAGGCAAACTCCTTACTGGCAATGGGAAATTAGTTAATCCACTTTAGTGGGTTTCCCAGTGTTTTAAAAAAAATACCTTATACCAAGAATTATGGTGTAAAACAGCTATTTGTTAAATCTTATCTCACTTTCTAATAATCCACGTCAAATGTGGCTGTGATATATCAGAAACAAAATTTAAAAACCCATCATGTGTAGTGTGTGCGCGGTGTACGATCGGGTCAATAAAACCTCCACATTATTTAATCAACACAAACAAAATGACCCGGGTCTCTCGTGTAGTATAAGCTATAAGCTTTAACAGCCATGAAAAACAGACTGCTGTCTTCCTGTCGTGTGATCATCCAACAGCGACCATGTGATCTGCCAAGTTTTTGAATTATTGGCAGCACTTCACAAAGTACCACGGCTCTCAGTGGCATTTAGTTTGTGGTGAAAACACAATCAGGACGAACTGCAGCCAATAACTTTAATCTTCTGCAAAGCACATCGATACTGTTTGAATGGATTAACATGGCTCTGGGAAGGAGCTACAGGAACGTCTCTGCTGTCTGTCGATTTGAAGCTGTGCCTCACCCAAGTCAGCATAGTTGCTTTTGCAGAACTGTCTCCTTCCGCCAAAACACAGATCGAACGGCAGCTCGTCAGGTTTGCGCAGCTTGCTCCCATTTTCAATGGCCGTGAAGGCATGCTTGGTATCATAGTAAGTCACAAAGCCATAATTGTCCCTGTGAAAGATAAACAATATTAGTCTATTTGTCCAATTAAAAATCATGAACAAGCCTTGTTCAGTCTTGAGCTGTCACTTGTTTTTAAAAGAGCAACCTGGAGGTGTTGCCAGGACGCCCCAGTTATAAACAAGCCTTTGCTATAGCACTGTAGCTTGGCCAAAGAGGTCATGGATGAGACCCAGAAGGTTCAAAGACAGTGCAACTAGCTCATAAGATGACAGCAACCCTTGATAAACGCTGAAGAGAAATGTATGATGTGTTCATCTTCGTACCCGTGGTCTCTAAAGTGCAAGGTGCAGTCTTCGATTTCGCCAAAGTAAGAGAAGCGCTCTTTAAGTTCTTTTTGGGTCATCGAACCACGGATTCGACCAACGTAAACAACCCGGCGTTCCTCCTGAGAAAAATAATAATAAAAAAGTCAATCAGATAATCTAATTTAACAATACTAGAATTTGCTTATACATGTGTACTCAGGGTAAAATTAACATACAATGGCTTTCTCCTTGCATCTCTTCACCTGCTCCACATTCACCTTCGTGCTGGGACCGTAGCTGGGTGCATATGAGGGACTGAGGAAAACAAGATGAAATCATTTTTTAACTACATGTCAAAAGTATTTGTATATGAGGACTAGCCCCTAGAGGAGCATGATTTATAAACTGTACCTGCACCATGGCGTGCTCCTACTCCACTGTGCTCGTCTCTGAGGTGATCGAGACCGAGACCGTGACCTGGAACGACTCCATGAGCCAGAATGAGACGAGGAATACGAATACTGTCTCCTCCTGGGAGGGGAGCGGGACGCAGAGCAAGAGGACCGTGATGAGGAACAGGATGAAGAGCTGGAACTGCTCTCAGAGTTACGGGGACGATACCTAAATGAAGAAAAAGGAATGCAAGAGAGGAAAATTTGTAAACTTACAAAACCTAGAAATCAGTATTAAAATACTGTACCAACAAGATGTTTCGACCGGGAGACAAACCTTTTCTTAGATGGACCACGTGATCTAGACCGAGATCTAGAGGAATGAGAGTCTGACTCTGAACCACTGGACATAGGGCTGGGAGAACGGCGGGATCTTCTCTTTCTAGACCGGCCTCCGGTCCTCTCTTTGGGGCTAGATGGGGGGCTGGGTGTGCGAGAGTCAGCATGGCGACGGTAGGTCCTCCTGAAAGGCCCTCTGCTGGGGCTTCCTCCTTTAACAGAAGTATCATTCTCCTGCCGAGCAGGAGAAGCTTCAGGAGTTTCCAGAACGGAGCTGTGATCCAGGTCATCCGTCAGTGGGAAATCTTGAGTTCTGGTTGTGATCTTAGGGTTCGTCGTAGACGGGACAGACTGTGCCAGGGCAGCTGGCATTGTCTGTGCGATGGCTGTAGTGGCTTGCATGATGGGTTTAATAGTGATGAACGATTGCGGTTTGACATTCCAGCGTCTGCCTGGCTCTCCAGCAGAAGTGCCTTTGTTGGGGAGGCAATAGTCGTGGTCCATGCACGCCACGTCAGGGTCGACAGTGGCGGCAGCGGGAGTGGGTTTACTGCGCGACTTGAATGAGGGCAGAGGCCGAGCCTCTATCTGGATAATCTTTGAGGGGCTCGACTTGCATGCTTCAGCCGCTTTGCTCTTCCCCAGCAGGGCCAAAGGGGCCAGAGGTTTCCACATCTGGTGGGGAGGAGTGGCTGGGGGAGTCAGAGCTGGGGCAAAGGAGAAAGAAAGTGCAAAACAATTATACCAAACATCTGTGCAAAGGGCCATGTGTGCAAATGTCTTATCAAAATGTAGCATTTCTAATGACTGTGCTAGTTTAATACTGGAAGTGCTGCATCCATACAAGGGCAGGACTAAAGGAAATGCGTCTATTTGAATGATTTACCTTAATGGACTGATTCTGAAGCCAAAAGATAACATGCTGAATTACCTGCAGTACTT